TTTTTTTTTCCAAATTTTCTTGCAAAAATACTTTAGTCTCAGGAGTGTACGCCGAACTTTTTTTTATCTTACGGTCTAATGTACACATGTTCATATTTATTTATTTCCTTTGCTAGCATTCATTCTTGTACTTATAGAAAGGTGTTAGATAACGGTTTATGTATATAAGTACTTTGTTACCAAGTGCGAAACGAAAATTGATGAAATACAAATAATATTGATTCCTTAATTATTCATGTTTTATGGCATTGATCCAAATTCGCACCTCATCCCAAATGTGTTAAATGCGAATGACTTGTAAATAACTTGAAGCGTTTTTGTGTTAAGCAAACAAATGTATGATTGTACATTAGGGTGCATCACTCCTCATATAAGCATTTCTCCAAAGGAATTTTAATATTAATTTTGTTATAAGATTTCTTCCAAAATATTTTGGAAATATACAAAGATTTACATGAGCCGGACCGTTTTAAAATCAGCTCCAAAATGTTCCTTATTTTGATTCCGTGGATAACATTTTTTAATGAGTTTTATGCGGCTTTTAAGCTTGAACTACTCTACCATCGAAGTGATTTTTTTGGAGATTTTTTTTAACATTTATTTTTATTTATAAAAAACTCGAATTTTGGAGGCATTTTAAAATCAGTCCAGCTCACGTAAATCTTCACATTTTTCCGAAATATTTTGGCAAAAGGCTTAAAATATAATAAATTTTGTAATTCCGGTGGAAAACCCGCAACAGTTTTTGGTGAGGCACCCTAATGTACTTACGTATTTCATTTTATTCACTGACAAAATCATAGACAATGATACATTTGCTGGGGCTTTCATTTTGGTGAACAAACTCATAACCAACCTTAGTTTTCCACCGCTCATAGTGAATTGGAAATACATTCGAGATGGGTTCGAAAAAAATGAAAACCATAGTAACAAGAGAGGAAATGAAATCCAGCTCATTTTCGAAGGGAAATATAAGACAATCACTCTCTCTCATTAAAATTTCATTTCGATAATGGGCTGGATTTCGAATTCATAACGAAGGAAAAATACGTTGGATAAGGAAGGTGCCGTTTTGCTGGAGAATGGCCTAATTCTCAAATCGAATACTAATCTATTCCACATTAGTTATCCAAGGTGAATCTCGAAAAAATATTGGTTTTCCAATCATTTTCGAATTATTAACCAAACCAAATGTTTATTGGGTAGTTAACCGACGTTTTATTTTTTTACTTAGTACACTAATTGGGGAGTTTTTTGCCACCTTAGCGTTTACCTGTAGTATGTGACAGGCTCTATTTTAAAATTTGTAGCTATGCGACAAACTTATCCAGGAAATTTTAGCTTACAAAATTCTCAATAAGGACAACAAAAAACTTATTGAATGGAATGAGCCCCTTGGACTTTAAAATCCCTCAAACGAAGATGTAGTAAAATTCCCTTCGAACCACATGAAATATTTGACGGAAATGTCCAATATGCTCAACCACAGTTAAATGCCGAAATGGAAATTAATTGCTCAAATAAGTCAATTCCATCAATAAAGTGCAACCAGAAAAAGAGGGCTTCTGCAAGTTTCGTGAGCGTTGCGGTGCTGTCTTTAGTCCGTCCGTTGGTTCTTTTTCGGGTCAGTGGAGGGCTTGTCGGTTTTGTACTATAGTCCCTCCCAGCTCGGCTGGTCTGTCAGTTGTCGTCATGAAATTCAATTGTCGGTATACAAAGAAAGCGTCGTATTTCGACGGGGTGTGGTCAAAGGAAAATCAGTAGTATCAGAGTGGGCTTATGGGGACTAGTATAGAGGTGGTTGGTGTCATTTAGTAGCAGCAGAAGTCAACCCCTCAGGGGTGTGGTTAGCTTTTTCGACTTAATCATCCGATTCGGAAAGCCTGAGGACTACCAACTGGGCTGCGTCAATTGGCGCTGACCATAAGCCTTCGCGTAATCAAGTGGTTTTTGTCGCCTGGGTCCTGTCCGCATTCTGGGCAGTGTTTGCCACCTGAATATTTAGATGCGAGAGTATATAGCTGTTGAGGCGGCTGCATAAGTCCTAACGGCAGCATCCAAAGAGGATGTGCTTGGAAAGCAAAGTATTTCGCTCTTTCTCCGCCAGGTGAGTTGAGTTCAGTACAACCTTCTGTATGTCTGGATTTCAGACGTGCAGCAAGTATACTGCTCGAATGCTCCTAACTGTACCAATAAATACTTGCTGAGCATAAAGTTATTTTCCTTAAAGGAGGCATGGATGCCTCATTATGTGGATAATGTCCATGCGTCTCCGGATTGTCGGACACTTGGCTGGAGATTTTCGAATCTTATAAATCTCAGCACAGAAGTGCTGCCAGGAATTTGTCTTTGGTTCCCTTTATTTCTGGAGGTCAATACCACGAATGAACGAAATTTGGACGAGCTTGATCTCGAAATTTTTTTAGCACGTCGTTTTTGTAAAAAAAAAAACTGTTAGTGTCAAAAAATGCATAATAAAGCTAATTTTGGCGTAGTTTCCAGAAGAAAAAAACAGCGTATTATTGAAAATACTATTTGTTTATGGAGCCTAACTCATATCGGTGAGTTAAGTAGAAATTAGTGAAAAAATTCCGGAAGTCTAACTCCATTAGACAAATTTTAATTTCATTAATACGCTGTTCCTATCTTCAGAAAAACTAGGACAAATAATTTTTGTTTTAAATTTTTAAATTTGCCATTTTTCGACACTTCAATGTTCCCAAAAATCACGCGTGCTAGAAAAATTTTGTGAATGGGTTTGAAATCATCATCAACAAATCTATAATATAATATCGGTCCCGTTTTCGAGTATAAACTTGTTAAAATTTTATTGAAAAGTGTGCCTTAGAAATGTATATAATTTACAGGAAATTTCTTCTTTAAAACGCTCTCTGCTAAATAAATTATAACTTTCGCAGCGAAAATACTTGCACATAATAAATCTTTTACCTATATCCCTTTTCCACGTAGTACAAATGTATGCCACGAAAAAAGCTCAAAAGAAATATCTTTAACCCACTCAAAACATAGTACATATGTTTATTTATTAAAAATTATGTAATTTTAATATTATTTTAAATGTCATTAATTGAACAGTACAACAATTTATTTTGTGTTTTATCATTTTTACAAATATAGGCAATGCAACTAAGAACTTTCGGTTTTATTATATAAAGTATGTGTAACTATGTTTCTTTATAAACCACTTCGTCGTCTAAGTTTCTACCTCTTCCCTTGTAAGTACGAGTGCACATTTGTATTCCCTAAATGAACAGCTAGTATCTTAGACCACAAATTTCTAGATAGGCATATATGTACATACATATACATATGTATGTATGTACGCATATAGTACAAAAAATACTTGTTGGCCCTTGATTGGAACATAGTATGATGTTTAGGCAGTTCAGTGTTTTATAATATGAAAATAATGCATATTTATGTATGTATGTATATATGTAGGTAAGTATGTCTATGTCTTGTAAGACCACCGAAAAGGAACTTTTTAAACACTAAGAAATTAAATGGTAAAATAATATCAAAAACTAAAAATGTATTTCACGAGTATTTTAAGATTTTGTTTGTCTGTGTTTTGTATAAACAGAAACGAATTCACGAATCAAGATGGACAATGTAATTAAACGCACGCACATGATTATGCTTAAACTACGAATTTACACATCAATACGACATTTTTATAATCACATTTACTAATAGGTTTTCTTTGTTTCAAAAGTTAACATTTATATATACATTTTGTATAATAGTTCAAGTATAGTCGTCCTTGAGCTGAGACTAGTTCCTTACACAGTCAATTTCTTGTATGCTTAATATTCAGTATCAATTAAAAATTTAAAATCGTAGGTTCTGTTTTACATTGTAGCTGCCACTAAAGTCTCTGTTATAAGTTTTTTTTTACAAATATGTGCGCAGAATTGTGTGCAAAGTTGTGAAAATCCACATTCAAGTTGGTATCTACCATGTGAATTTACTAAGATTTCAAGTACATTTAATTTAAAGTGCAACTTAATTTAGTTTTTCTTGATTCGATTCTTTATTGCTTACCAAAAGTAAATAAGTTTTGCTTGTTTTGTGTTTGATCTGAAAGTTTATGCAGACGATCAGCCATATCAAGCACATGTATGAAATACTTAGAAGCAGTATTTTAACGATATCTGCTTGCAAACAAAGTCAAAGGAATCTCATACAAATTGTTTTTTTTTTTTCTAAAAATCTATCCTTTTGTCTCCAAAGGCAAAACTTTAGAGATATTTTTTAAGTATAATTCAAAGATATTCCCGTAAATTTGTTGGTTAAGACAGCAAACAAAAAAAATTAAATATATGTAAAACCAGTTGAATTTGATTAGGCATCATTTGACCATCTGCATAAACCAGCATTTTTGGTCGAAGCTTTTTTATGTCGCATCGAAAAAATTGATTTCGTGATTCTCGTTGTTTCACTGATACTTCCTGGCAGCGGTGCGTGCACGCCATGCCTGGAGGCACTTATTAGAGAAAATGAGCGTGAAACCATGAACTTGGAATCCAACCAAGCAGAAGGCATACCACAATAGACCATAAGGGAAACCCTGAAAGTGTACAAGTAATTAGTTCATATTATTATAATGCATTTTAAATTATCATTATTATTTACCTGCCACATCATAATATCTGTCTCATCAATATCGGCCTTATTTTCCAGTTTAATGTAATCCCATACATCGCTAAAGTAGTAGACCATACAGTAGAGCAATGGTAGTATGCCCAATACAACAATTGCTATCATATATTTTTGCATTTCGCGCACTTTATTGCCACGCGCCGCTGACAGGCCAATGAAGGACGCCAACAACGATGATAACCAAATATATTCCCACCATAGCGGTTTAGGCACTTCAAGCTCTTCGATTTCTAGCACAAAAATATCGAGGCGATCCAATACATCCGAAGTCAGTTTGGCCATCATGCAAAAGGCAAGTAACGTATGAAAGAAAATACAATATCGTAGGCGTGATTTATTCAGCATACTGCAATTAAGAAAATTAAGATGAACATAAAGTTTTTACGGCAAATTTATTGTAAAATGCTGGAACAATTCAAGATTTATGTACTGATGCAAATAAGGTGGCTGAAAAAATGTGAAAACGATTTTCAAATAAATTGTTAATTTATTTTTGGAAGTTAGTACATTGTGGAAGTTACACTGCTTGTCGCTGGTGTCCACGGTTCACAGTAGGCGATGACTTCGTTACAGACCGAATGATAGCCATATAAGTGACAAGATGGGATGGTCTTTTCTGTAGGTGTTGCCGGAAAATAATTTGTGTAACTTTTTCTTGTTGTGCTTTTTATTTTCTCGCCGCTTTACCGCGCCCCAAGAAGGAGGCATTCAGGTATTTAGGGTAGTTACCTCAAGTTCAAGGTGGAAAAGCGGATCACCATTTGCTCGACAGTCGGCCCAAGAAAATTTTCCTCTTAAAAGACATGTGGTGCAAAGAGCATTTCACCATACAAAAATTTATAAAAACGTTCCCCCAGTCCACGTGCTGAATAATTTGTTTTTGCAACAATTGTTATCAGCTGCATTCCTTTACAGGTGGCTTTGCATTCATTGTTTACCAATACAAAAGCACAAGCACGCTTTAACAAAACACGCATACAACTTCGTTTGTCACGGCATTTGTGCTCATCATGTCGGTATGTCCACGTCACCGCATATGCAGGCCGAGTTGTGGAGACGCTATCGACAGTTTTCGACTATTGCTTGTCCATAAAAACGAAATGTAAACAAATTCTGGCAATTAGCCAATAATGAACACAGTAATCATAGACAACAAGAGCAGCGCCCTGTAAAAGAATTTGCCCGCGACCGTTTTCATCTTGCAAAAACACGACAGTACTCCTTCCCCGCATGCCATACACTAGACTAAATTTGCCAACATTTGCTTCGCTTTGCAGGTTGGTGAATTATGCAAAGCACTACTCATTAGCATAAGAGCAATATATTGAACTCCATTATTACTACGTAAGAAGGCAAACGTTCCGAATTGGGCATTGCTTGTATAAAAATGTAGTGAATAATTATTATTGAATTTACAAATTGCAAAATATGTTAACCTGATATAATGTGGAGCTGCCACACGCTGCCTGAATTCATAGTCATTGCCATCAGTGCCAACCACCATCGGTCCACCACGAGATGCCATTTCTACTGTGCTCTAGCACTATGACTCCCGGGGTCTCCACGATTTCCTTTGGAACTTTTTAGCTTTGCTATCGCCTAGTTACGTTTGCTACACCTGTGTTGCAGCAAATTATGCTTTATTCATTTCACTTTGAGCTTTTCTTTGTAGCAATTATTTTCGTTCACTATTGTATAAATAATCGGTCGTATTTTAAGCAAGGTATACAATTAATGTATGCCTTGTTTAACGGGAAAAGAAAAAAATACCACCGTTGTCGAGAAAAGAAAAGAAAAATTTATTAACAAAAGTTGCTGCGAAAGGCTGAATGTTATGGGCAAAAAAACAGCACAGGGTGTGTACGAGAGATTTTAGTGTTGGTTAAAAACAGAGGGTGACGCTTATTAGTAAATAAAGATAACTTAATACTTAGATAGTTCCTGTTTCCGTTCTAATGCAAGTCATTTTATTTTAACCGTCAGTAAGTATTTTACTTGTTTTTAGGAAGTAGTTGACTGTTAACGCGCGTCGGTTATTAAAAGTGGAAAATATAACCTAAAAGTGGATTTACATTATTAAAGTAATTCGGATTTTAATTGAAATTGTTGGTGCTAATAGTTTAAAAGTATGTAGTAGTAGTTTAGAAGTAAGTGTTGTATTTGAATGATGAAAAATACATACACACATACATACATGCATACATACGTTATGCATATCAAAGTACATGTATAAAGTAATTTTCGCTTCACAGATGCACGGAACAAGTTTCAAGTGTGTATGTAAATATTATTGCTTTAAAAATATCAACACAAGCAAAAATAAGTTTTCGGTTCTAAATTTGTGTAATAACTAAAAATATTCATACATATGTTAAAATATGCATGAATGTATGTGCATACTACTGCACTTAAGCAATGTTCTCGTATGTGCATATATACAAAAGTATGTATAAAAATAAGTGTGTACTTATGTACAACAATTCTACCCTTTGTTGAAAATCCGCTGTGGCCTGTCTATTCGACAGTTTCTTATTCTGTGCACCCAGTTAGACGTCTTATTGCTCTTCTATGCACGCTGGCTAACTCACCGCTGCTACTGAGTAGCTAGATGTAATGTGCTTTGCTTTCTGTAATTACTATATACAAATGCTCTAACATATGTACATATGTATGTATGTGCACACTTTACAGCGATAGCCGCCAAGCGTTTGCCCGCAAAAGCAAACAACGTCGTCGTGGGACTATGCTTCTTAGTTTCGACATTCAGTACTTTGGAACACTTGACGGCGTCGAGAACTGATCGCTCTAGGAGAGGTGTTTATCGTGCGAAGTTGTGAAGTTTTCCAAAAATTCAGTTTTAAAAATTATTGCAATAAAAAAATATTTTTAACGTTCCGAAAGAAGATAAAACACAGATACGTGTATTAGTGCGAACGAGAATTTTGTGCGTAGAGCCACTATTGAAGTTCGATTTTGGGATGCTTAAGGCTTTTAGCAAAGAAAATAAAAATAATAAAAATTAAATGAAATAACAAAGTGCTGTTATGAAACCGTAAAAGTGTTTTACTTTCTAAGGATTAAAAATTAAATTACCACGACCATTCGAAATACTTGGTGTTACACTGCATTAAGTGTCAAAAGGCAAAAAAATTTCAACAAAAAGCGAGCAATTTATTATTTGAGGCAACTAATCAGCCAGCCAGCATAAAATAGGTGATTTGCAAACATTTTTTTTTTATAAAAATTATAGCTAATTTTGAAAAATAAAACGACACATTGTTGACATTTGTTGACAAATAATTGCAGCCACAGTCAAACATGCATACATACCAAATTAAAAATACATACGAATTATGTAAATATAAATTTAACTAACATAAAATGTACATACATATCTGTGCCGTTCAATTAAAGTAGCTTAAGTGAATTTATAAGGTTTGACTTAGAATTAAACAATAATCACTTCAAAGTATTAAAAGGGTATGGTGAACTAAACCCATGGCTAGTTAAACATTAAAATATTGTTTGGCAACCCAAGGAAATGTTGCTTTAAAAGAAAAAGTGCCTATCCCGACTTAGACTACTTTAATTGAGCGTTACAAATACATATGTACATATAAATGTACACAAAACAATAAAAAAAAATAAACATTCAAGCAAATTTCACAATCAAAAACCCTTTACCTTTGCCCACTCTATCTACAATGTTTGTATTTTGTACAAGAATTTGTAAAAAAAATAATACAATGCCTTTCCTACGCTTCGCGGAAATTAATTTAATTTCATAAGCGTCGCTTTGTGGCCACTAAAATATTTCTAAAAATATTGTTATTTATTTACAAGTTGTGTGTTTTGTGTATATTCTTTGACTCTTGCTTTTTAATTGCTTGATGTTTATTTCTGCTGTTATTTGTTTTTTCTTTTGTGTTTTTTTTTTTTTTGTTTGTTTGTTATGTGATGCGCTTGGCACTCAAGTTTGTGACCAATTGGATTTTCGGCTGCATTGCTATTTGGTGTTATGGTGAACATATCTTCAAAAGCGTATTAACTCAAAATTCTCCTCTTTTGAGAAAACCAAAATAACAGTATGTGTAAGCACTTTTTAATCATATGGCAAAGGTACACTTTCGATTTGTTTAACGAATTGAAACAAAATTTTGTTTTCACTTTTTCTGAACGGTATGTAAATTATAAGTTCGGTGAAAATATTTGGCGCATAATATCAAAAACTACAAATTTTGAATTAATACATTTTGAAAACGTGTACGTATTTATTTTGCCGCCAAAGAAAGTCGCGATGGTAAACATACATTTTTCAGACCCTGAAGTGCATAGTGTGCATTTGTAAATAAATGTATACATGTATGTGTGTAAGTACCTCGATAGGTAAAATGCATATTCTTCATTGTTGCAGTTTGTGATCACGTCTGACGGCCTGGTTGCCGCGCATTACCACAGCTGCGACTGGTACATTGATTGGCATATGCTGCGCTGCTTTTTACAGTCTGCATGCATGCAGTTTATTTTTTGTTGTGTCTGCTGTTGAAGAAAACAAAAATATAAAAAAAAAAAAAAATAAATGTCGGAAGAAATTCACGCGGTAATTTGCTTTTCTTTCCTTAGCCAATAATAGAGTCAAGCGTTGTAATATTATTTACAAGCATATATGTACATATGTATGTATGTATATCTATACCTACCTAAGTATACATTTGTGTATATGTAAATATGTACATACATATGTATAGTCGTGGTGGCGTGGTGAAACACATTTTTGTACCTAAATACTTGTATTTTCACTAAGAACTTTTCCTTTCAACAAGTATGTACATTAGAGTGGTCCAAAAACAGTATAGACGGAATTTTAATGCCGCCACCCCCTAGGATTGTTCTATGCCGAAAAAATATACTCATATTTTTTTTTTTTGAAATCAAAAAATATTTAGGGAGTGCTCAAAGTTTTCCATGTATTTATGTATATGGGGAAAAACAACTTTTGGTAGAAACAGTAAAGAATTATTGAAAATCAATATTTTTCGATCAGAAAACTAAAAACTTAATATCCAATTGTTTAAGTAACCATTTTTTAATACTAAAGATTTTTTTATTGGTCCCCAATTGCATTTTCTGGGGGTTTTGGCGGAGCTATAAAATATTGTTACCATGAAAAAATGGTCAAAGAAACAATTGGGTATTATTATTGGGAATCCTCAAAAGGGAAAAAGATTTTTTCGATCGAAAAATATTGATTTTCCAGAATTCTACAATATTTCTACGAAAAGTTGTTCTTTTCCCCTCCATATAAAATACATGGAAAACTTTGAGCGCTTTGAGCACTCCTTTAATATTTTTTGATTTCAAAATAAAAAATAGGGGCATATATTTTCGGTACAGAACAATCCATTAAAATTCCGACCTTACTTTTTCACATGCATTTTTGGACCACTCTAATGTACATACATATTTAAATACATATGTATGTATGTATATATATGTAGTACCTATTTATGTATATGTATACCATGTCACTAGCTGAAAGTGAAAAGTTGCTTAGTCCAGTTTTTTTTTTTTTTAATTTTGTTGGAGAGAAAAAACCTTTCATACTCATTTTCTTCAAGCCCTTGATTTGCAAAAAAAAAATGTAGTACGTATTTTCTTGTACTCCAAGCGTAAACAACTATAAATGAGTCCAATTCCACAATGTTGATGAACAATTTTGCTGTTCTTTGGGAGGTATCACATTATCAAAAAAAAACGGACTTAGCAACTTTTCACCCTAAGCTGAAGTATGTACATATTTATATGTGAACGCATGGATATAAATATACATATATTTACATTAGGCATTAGGTTCTTGCCTGATTTCAAAAATGTTCCCCGGGTTTGTTGGTGAGTTCTATGTTCGCACCGAGTTTGTTGAGGGTTGGTAAAGGGACTACAGAAATATAGAAAGGAAGAAGAAGGCAGAAGGAAAAATTCAAAAATTTGATTTGGCTTGCATATTTGGACTACCCTAATGTACTAATGAGTTTTAACTAAAATTTGGTTATTTAAAGGAAGAAAAGCAAACAACTACATACTTAAAAAAATATGTGTAGCATGTATTGTGTATGTACATATGTATGTTTGTACATAATTTCTTTTAAAATATTTAAATTTTAGACAATTATGTAATTATGTATGTACATACATACATACTAACCGATAGCAGCAGATACATATGTAAATGACCGACAATGAGTCTAAATTACATTCACGTGCGTTTTCACATAAGTATAAAACGGACTTTATAAGCTGGCCTAAAATACTACGCTGTTATCTTAGTGTTTAATAATTCATGGCCTTGGAGTGCGTATTCCCACAAATATTTTGGAAACATTCTTATAAACTTATTGAAGTTTTATTTTTAGTGGATTTTGTAATTGAATTTTTTATGTTTTTACAAAAATATACATATGTACATACATATGTATTTAGTTTTCTATATTCTAATACAACATGTATCTATGTATTTCTTTTTTTAGCGCTACAATGTCCCAACCATCACAACATCTACCTCCGCAACCAATTCCCATTGCGGTGATCAATCGGGCACCGCCGCTGAAAACAGCAGCCGATGAGCGACGTGCGAGCTTTGCGCGACGCGCTGAAAGTTTGGTGGAGCGGGTGAGAGTATTGAATCAAATCTATGAGGTATCAAATGACCAAGCGTGAGATTTATTTGAATATTTTCTTAAAATGTTCCCCATTTTCCAATTGATCCCCTTTGCTAAGGAGTACTGACCCTGCAAATTGCAGAACAAAA